CAATGCTGCTGCTTCTCTGAGTTATTAACTATTCGGGAAAACTCAACTTCTGAGTTCACTACCGTCTTTCATGCATGATAAATTATGTCGATTTGTGGAGCGTGGAGGTCACGTCTTGATGTGGCCTGGAGGGGGAAGGGGTTTAAGAATAGATCTATTGTTAAAGCTCCTGGGCCTCTGATGAAATGTAATACAATATTACTTCTGATTCCTTCCTATTAGAGTCCCAGGCAGCTGAACCGTAGAGCGTCGTGTATATATATATATATATATATATATATATATATATATATATATATATATATATATATATATATATATATATATATATATATATATATATATATATTGGAGTGTGAGCAAAGTAACATTTATGAAGGGGTTCAGGGAAACCGGCAGGCCGGACTTGAGTCCTGGAGATGGGAAGTACAGTGCCTGCACTCTGAAGGAGGGGGTGTTAATGTTGCAGTTTAAAAACTGTAGTGTAAAGCACCCTTCTGGCAAGACAGTGATGGAGTGAATGATGGTGAGAGTTTTTCTTTTTCGGGCCACCCTGCCTTGGTGGGAATCGGCCAGTGTGATAATAAAATAATAATATATATCTATATACAATACCATACTGGACAATACCTTGGGTGGACGTCAAGGTATTGTCCAGTATGGTACGGTCGGTAAAGCACTGCGTACCTTCTTCCAAGGTTCGTAAGTTCGGCTAGAGATCAGTGTTTGTGAATATTTCGCCTGTGTGTGTGTGTGTGTGTGTGTGTGTGTGTGTGTGTGTGTGTGTGTGTGTGTGTGTGTGTGTGTGTGTGTGTAAGAAAGATTAAAATCATCATTGCTACTTGAAACACATTTATTTAGGACGAGTTTCGGAGCTAACTCACTCCATCATCAGGCACTGGAATACCTGAAACCTGTAGAGGTCATATACATCTTGGGAAGTGAGAAATGCAGTAATAAGGTTTGAAGTAAGGAAGGGAAAGATAGCTCTAGTTCCTTGAACCAAAATCTACTCGCTAAAAGAACCCAGAAGCGCAGCAACTAAAATTATTATAATTGCGTTTATAATAATTAATTCTCTTTGAGCACTAAACCCTTTACAGCGCCAATGGAAAGAGTTTCTAGAAGATTTAATCTCATGATGGTATATTTTGTCCAGACACGGAAAATAAGCAGCTCTCGGCTAATCTGCATGACTGACTGAGTAAAGTCATGCAACATGCCCAGAATTCACCACTTTCCGCAAGTGTAACAGATCATCATAAATCTTTGTCTCTTACAGGATGAATTGGACGAGCCTCACCAGGACTCCGTGAAAGGTGTGTCAAGCATCGAAGTCCATTGGAACCACGATGAACGATAAACTGGATTTTTACTCAGAGGCCCTGTTGGTGGGCGGCGATGTGGAGACGCTGTTGACCTCCACACCGGAGCCGGTAAACTGGCTGGAACACGCCGTTAATGACACCGACGACTGCTTGGAGTTCCCAGCCAGTTGTTTCCCTGCCGACGGCTTCTGGAACACAAGCTTCAACGCCAGCACCACCACCGTCCTCCCGCCGAGCCTGGGCTTCGACGACAACGCCAAGACTGACATCATCATCTACTCCGTCATGTTCGTGGTGGCGGCCGTTGGGAACCTGACGGTCTTCATCACACTCTTCAGGAACCGACACCGCAAGTCCCGCGTCAACCTAATGATCATGCACCTGGCGGCCGCCGATCTGATGGTGACGTTGATCAACTTCCCACTGGAAGTGGGATGGAGAATCACCACGCAGTGGGTGGCTGGAAACCTGGCCTGCAAGCTCTTCCAGTTCCTCAGAGCCTTTGGTCTCTACCTCTCTTCTCTCGTTCTCGTCTGCATTAGCCTAGACAGATACTTCGCCATCGTTCATCCCCTCAAGGTACGTCGTAATCTATAATGTGCTCTCTAAACTGCATTTTACGGGGGAAAACTGAGCGACATTCCACAATATTATCACAGGTATTTCAGGCATATTTTTTTTAAAGAAATTTCCAATATTCACGTCTTAATTGACATGTTTCATCAATGGTTGGATGTTAGAATACCACCAATAAGGATAATACAGAGAAATACAGCAATATTTCGCACGCATCAAGCGAGAAAGTTGTCTATTGTTAGTAGGCTTCATAGTGAATTAACAATAGCCTGATCAGGTTATTTGTAATTTGTTATAACAAAAATCTCATTGTTTCGATGTAATGAAATATTCGTCGTTTAATTCTTGTATCCGTGTAACTTACTTTGCAGGTCAACGATGCTCAACGACGAGGCAAGTTAATGTTGTCCTTCGCTTGGTCCATCGCTGCAGTGTGTTCCCTGCCTCAGGTGGGTCCTATTTTCTTCGTCAAGTGGGTCCTAATCCCAGACTCTTGTGGGTCCTATTTCCTGCCTCAGGTGGGTCAAAATTCTTGCCTAAGTTTGGTCCTGTAAGCTATCAAGTTGTGTTGTTCTTTTTACAGCGGCAGGGAAGAC